GTTTATTCCTATCAGTGGGACCGCCTGGGAAAGAGGTAACATTGATCCCTCGATGGCTCAGAGTGGTTCGTGGTTTGGGGTTGGCTCTGTAGTAGTTTTCCTTTTTTTTTTTTTTTTTTTTTTTTGTTTTAATCTTATTATTTTCCAACGGGGCGCCTGAAGGAATAACAGGGCTTCTGAAATGCGGCCGGAGAGAAGCGCCTGAAAAGCCTGCCGCCCAGAGAAGGGGAGTTATTTTTTTGCCATGGGGACCCGAAAGGGAAATAAACAGGCAAATGAATAAATAACAAGCCTGTTATCTAGTGTAGACGCTGAAGGATATTCGCGGTGCATTCATCAGTCTAATTTGATAGCAGTTCATAGATGGCACATTTCAGCGCGGCTGTTATTCCGAAAAGCATTCTGGATCGTAAAATATAACTTACCGCGTTAATAGGTTTATTTATTGGCACTGCCTATTGCTTATTTTGGATGCTTTACAAACATCTCTGTTATCTGGTAGGCACCTTCACATCACAGGGGAAAGATTGATCTTGTTTTTCTATATGTTTAAGCAGCATGCAGGCTAAAGTTGCCCAAAGCGGAGGCTCTAAGGGTTTTAAACTATAGGACGGACATTAATTTTTACGGCAACCCCATGCCCGAATATTACAAAGTTCAGAAGGTCAGTCTGAGCAGCGCTTCTTGTCAGCCCCGCGGGGCAGCTGGGATCCTCCTTTCGCATCGCGATGCCACTATGATCCTCAACCGCTTTTTTTTTTTTTCCTTTTTTTTTGGTTTTGTTTTTAAATCATCACCACCACCATCACCACCATCATCATCATTCGCTTACCTACGGGCTCTTTCTCGGGAGAGGCTTTGCTGCTCTCTGACGGAGCTGGAGAGAGCTCCTCTGCGGTGGAAGATGAAGCCTGAGTCTCGTCCTCCCTCTGGGAGACGCACGCCAAGGGGCTGGGGGAGCGCTCCTCGTCCTCCTTCCTCCCCGCGTCCGGGACGGGAGGCAAAGATGGAGGCGTCTGGAAGCGGCCGGGGGGCTGCGGAGGGAAGGGGGCAGCCCCGGCCGACCCCGCGCCGTAGCTCTTGGAGGGGCCATAAGCCTGGGAGAGGCGGGAGTAGCCCCGGGCGGGGAGGCTGGGGGAGGGGAGCGAGTTCTGTGGCGGCCGAGCCCTTGGGGCATTTCTCTGAGTCATAGAGGCAGTAGGAGCTCTCCTCCTTAATGCTTGGAGCGAAGGAGCACGAGGTGGCCTGCTGGCTCTCCGGCTCTTCCATGCGACAGGACCGGGGGGGGTCTAGCCACACTTCCATCCCTGACACGTAGGGGTGCGAGCTGGGGACCATGCTTTGAGAAGTACCTTCATTGCGTTTGCTCAAAACGGGGAAAAGTCCGCAGCTTTGCAGCCCGTAGGACAGATCGGACGCTTGTGGCAGGTAGATACCACTGTTGGGGTAGTAGCCGCCTCCGCCTCCGCCTCCTGCTCCCGCCGCTTCCCCTCTGCCCGAGCTGATCAAGGAGTCTACCAAAAAAGAGTTTGCAGCCGGGCTCTCGGAGCATGACATTGTTGTGGAATAATTTGGCGAAGGGAGCAGATAGCCCTTTCTGGCTGACATTTCTTGTGCAAAACATGCTGAATATGATTAGAGATACCCCCGCACCACGGCAGACGCTTGCAGCCAATGGAAACCCGGGCCTCCCCAGCAACCCCTCCCCGTCTGGTTTCGTATGCACCGAGCTGCTCTCAGGTCGACCTCTGAATTTGGGAGATAGATGTATATTAATGTGTAATATGGATTTCCATAGACACAGGCGCGCACGCTTCGCCCACATGGGCGAGTGCCCGCGCCTGGGCGGGAGCCGCGCTCCCGGGAAGGGGAAGGGGAAGGGGAAGGAGAAGGAGCGGGCTTTGCTAGTACTGGCTCCAAGTTTTGCTCCCCTCTTATCACACGCACCGCTATAAACTAGCCCGGCGGTCCTGATGTTTATTATACCTAGGCTGAAGCGGTGTCCAGATGAAGCTTTTACTATCACTCCTCTCTCCCCGCGGTTGGGCTTTCCGGCAGCAACGCCTGCTCACCTCCCTGCACAGCCTCTGTCTCTCACGAAATTAATAAAGCCACGGCTCGCCCGGTGTTTTATGCTCAGGCTCTGCTCATTTCATTTGATTGTCCCGTTTCTTAAGAAATAAAAGACGTGTTATTGTTTATCACGGATCATTGGAAACCGTAAAGGGGCCTGGTGCCTCTCGCGTTAAACTACCGAGGAAGGGGGCTGCTTCCAGCCTAACATCACCGCCACGACGCCAGGCTGGGCTTAAATTTCCTGGAGATAAAATGCTCGCTGCTGCGCTGAAGAATCTCTTAGGGAGCTATGCCACTCAGGGGGGATTGATTGTGCGGTTACAGCTCCTAATGCTTTAGTTAACGCTGGATTCTTCCCGAGGTCTGATTACCATTTAAAATATAAAGCCAGACGTAACGCCACAGAAAGAATCCAGACGCGAGCAGTTCAAACGGATCCTCGCAGGATGCTGCGCACCCTGTTTATTGACGTGTTTATATTTGGGCGATCATTTTTATATCTCCCTCCCCCCCCCATTTGGGTCATTCACTTTTCGCCTCTTCAAAAACACCGTCTCTTTCACGAGCAATGTACTAAATAATAGAAAGAAGAGTAAGTAGATGAATCCTGAGATACTAGACAGCCCTGTCCACTCAATATGTAATTGTGGCCGAGGTAGCAGACAGACAGCAGACAGACAGGGACGCAGACAGAGAGACAGATAGATTTTCTAATGAATCGCTTAATGATGGCTTGCTTTCACTTCCATCATCTCTCGCTTATGCCATTTTGAAGTCGCCTCGCTGCCTGGCCCGCGGAACTAAGGGCTCTTTAGTCCAAGGGGAGCCTGGGGCTGGCCGGTGCTCGCTGCCCACCCCGGAGGAGCAGGGCTCTCTCCTCTCTCCCGCAGGCTTCTCCCGGGGAAGCAGCGGCCGGCCAGGCTCCCCTTCCAG